AGCTCCTTTATGAAAACACTGCCTCCCAGTTTTATTTTAAAACCAGCTGCTACTTTCTAGGATGAGGATGAACGAAGTCATGGCTAGATCAACTCAGACACTAAACTTTGCAGGGAACAGACTATTTTCCTGAACAGATGGCCACTGCCAGTGAATTTTTATTGTACTACACTCAGTCACGTTTGTGAGATGGGCAGTTATATAAATGTGAGAACGACAATAAATGTCACTTCCTATAAATGAAGGTGAACATATGTGTTCCTAGGATAATGTTGCCAGATCCCAATCTGGATCAGTCACTGGGACCAGAGGTTTAGTCTTCTGAGCTTTTGGACTTGTGCTGGAGCCCATCCTTAGGGAAATTCTCACTACCAGAATGTGTAACTTCCTAGCTTTTTCCAAATCTTCTGCCAGAGGAAATCTTTAACTCCTCATGTTCCAATATATCCTTAGCCACCAATCTGTTTCTCACCAAGGATATTGTAAATGGGACTGGGTAATAAGATTGTGTACACAGTCTCTCCAGGATGAGTGGAATCGCTGTGAGAAGGGAATCCTGCTGCTGTGGGAAACTAATAATTGATTTCCCACCTTCTTGTCTACATATAATTGTATTCTTAGCTCCTCTAAGGGGGGGAAGAGGGGAAGGGTTTCTCAGATAAGCCAATCCTACTCTGAAGTTAGGTGCCAGGACTGTTCTCTGCCTGGCTTTCTAAGTCATAAGCAAATAAATTGCAGCTATGTAATTTCAGAAACTGGGCTCATGAGAGCAGAAAAAAGAATAGAGTATTACTATACGGTGACAGTGGTGACAGCAGCTCAAAGCAATTCCACAAGAGGATTTCATTTGAAACCAGCTTGCCCATGATCCTGTGGCATCAGCAGTGTTGGAGAGCTGATCCCAGTCATTTCTGATTCATCAGCAGCATTTCTGAAATAAACCTAATCCTTTCCTTTAAAATGCTGTGGCTCTGCAGAGCCGGTGGGCAGTCCATGCCCCCATTTGCAAAAACTGCTACCTCCCTGTGGGCCACCTGTCCTTGCAGATTTTTCATGGGAAAGGTGGCAGAACAACTTTTCAACTTGGATAAGGAGGGCGTCGATTTCCCTTTGACAGAGAATAGATGTCAAGAGGATTTTTAGGGCAGAGGAATAGCTCTTTGCTTCTCACTGCAGCAAGGTGAGTAGAAGATTGTGATGATGAATCACTATTAGCACTCGGGGGAATGGAAAAAAGTAGTGTGTGAAAATGTACTAAGCCAAATTCTGAAGCCTGTTAAGCCTGTCAGATCAACACACTCACTATAGATGGCATAGCCCAGCTGAGTTCTATTTGATCATTCCCCAAAAGTAATTCCCATTGAGATTTACACCCCTTCCCAACATCTATTCAGTTACAGCGTCCATGTTTTGTTTGGAAACAATACCAGCATCTCCACATGAAAAAAATAATACTGCCTCTAAAATCCCCAACAGCCAATACCAGACAGTGCATGAAATACTGAGATGATGGAATTATTATGTAACTAAGTCAAAAATTAAACTGAGGAACTGGGAATTGGGATGATGACTTTTTATCCTAGATTGTTTTCCTTTAATTTTATTTGTCTACTTTCCTTTTTTCTTCTTGCAAATACTGTTTTGATGCACAGGCTTAGGCAGAACCCCACTAAGTTGTAAGTCTTCTCCAGCAAGATCCACCTGGTACCAAATGGTCTTTAGGATGCCAGGCTAAGAACTTTTATTCTCCCATGCCTTTTAATAATGTGGTAGTCGGTGCAACAGTGATTTTTGATTTTGCTGTCGTTTCTTTTTCCTTCTGTTACTACTTTAATGTTGATCATAATTTTTAATCTTTTTGTATTTTTGAACTCAGCAAAGTAGTTTATAAAATTAAAACTTTATTAAGTAAAGCTACCTTTTCATTGTAAGTTTTAATTATTGTACTATTTTTACATTGTTAGAGGAAGATGGCGCTATCTTTCTCATGAGTGGTTGCGCTGGTGTGCCCTACCACCATGCCCTTTTCAGCACTGTGTGCATGGTTTGTGTGAATGTCAAGGGAGTACTTTGTGTAGGACAGTAAAAGGCAAAGCTAATAATGCAACAGTCATACTGATGTCCTTAAGAGGTCCCTCTATGAAGGCTATATATCTTGACTCAGATAACTAAGAAAGAGGCCAGGCGTTTTGCTGATATCACACTGGTTTAGATATCATGCTAAGTCATGAAATGGCTTTTCCTATGTGCTGTATGAACATTAAGCTTCACACGCTATCATGATCCCAGGCTATTGTGGCCTGCTAAATTATCTGTGATAGCACAGTCAATAGCAACAATGAGTACTGAGAGAAGGGCCATTATTTAAGCCCATCAGCATCTAGGATCGCAAACATGATCGTCAACGTCCAATTATGGATATGACACAAGAAGAATCATCATCTAACCACCCATTGAAACACCCCTACATAGCATGTAAACAGAGTGGCAAGCTCTTGTGCCTTAAAGCTGCATCAGGTAGCAAAATCTGGGGACCAGGGATTGGGCTAACAAAAACTCTTCCAGATGCACGCTTGCTCATGCATATGTATACCAGACTAGTATGACCAAATTAGCAAGAACAAAACCAATGATTATCAAAACCAGTTGTTGCCTAATTTTCTTAACAACCCTGCTTGAAGACTACTGATGAATAGCTTCTCAAGATTCTTTTCCCAAGGCTAAACATTTCCAGTTCCCTTAATCTCTTTTTATAGGACATAGTTTCTAGACTCTCGATCATCCCGGTTGCTTCTCTCCAAACATATCTAAATTTGTCTCAATCCATCTTTAATTGTGGTACCCAAAATTGGAACCTGTACTGAAAGTGAAGAATGATTAATGCAAAAAAAACCTATTTCTGATAATGCAAGGTAAAATAAATTTGTATTATTTATATTGCAGTCATTATTTATTGAATTTATATGCCTTCCATCTCAGTGATAATTCAATTCTAGACACCATGTTATATGACTGACTCACGTTCAGTTTGTAGTAACATAACAACATACAATTCAATTTTCTTGATGAGTATCATTGATAGCTGGGAAATTCTGGGAACTGAAGTCCACCCACCTGGAAAGTTACCGAGTTTGAAAAACACTGTCCTAATTCCTACATGGTTTTCCCTCGACTAAGAAACAGACCTTATGATTCACATTCTGGAGGATGGTTTTTGATTTTGTAAATGGAAAAGGAAACTTAGCTCTTCTTTCTGAGGTGGAAGGACTGAATTGTTGGAAGAAAAATCCAGGTCCAGTTCCAAGCCAGGAATAAAATGGAGGCTGATTGGAAAGAAAGATTCTGTTTATCGTGAACAGAACCAACACACACATAGCGTTCAGTTCTGGGACAGCTGACAAAATGGAGTTGAAAGTTTTATCCCTTCTGGATTCCTATGGGGTCATGTAGGAGTCATACAGTCATGGCTGTATAGGCAAAAAGGGAAATGCAAATTCTAGGTGTTTGTCTGAGCTAATCTTGTCAACCTTTGACTTGTCGCTTATGTGAAGTTTCTGTCTGATCCAGTCTTTCTGAATGGATTACCAAATCTGCATTTCTAAAAGCTGGCCTCTTTAGTTTCTGCTTGGGGCAGGGAGACTGGGCTTGTTTCTGCCTCCCTTAAGATGTTTTTTTTTTCCCCCATTTCTCCTTTAGGGGAAATATTTTATTCTGCCTTTTTAATATTCCCCCCAATATTTCATTCTCGAGGAGGGTAGGTCAGTGCTGACTTTCTACAGGATCTAGTTAAGGAAGAAGAAGAAGAAGAAAACCCTCTGAGCATCCATAAAGTAAACTGCGGACCCTCATCTTTGCCCTTTGGGATCTGGTGCTCTTCCCCAGGTATTTCCACCCAGAAGCATCCACAAGAAAGAAGTTTATCCAAAATTAAGTCACCCCCCCTCGGATCGAGTCCAGCTATTGCTTTCTAAAATAATTGCGATTCTCCCATCCAGCCCTACCTGGATATTTTTATTTTTCTCTCTAGACCGGGGGAGGAAGAGGTCCAGGAGTGGGGTGCTTTTGGCTCCTGCAGGGATCGGCCCGCGGAGGGATTTAGTGTGAAAAGTGGTGGCTGGAGGCGCCGCCGAGCGGTTGTCTTGGCAAGAAGCAGCGGCGGCGGCGGCGGCTCCAGTATCGGAGGGTAGCCATAGAAACCGGCCCAGCGCCATATCAAGCTGGATCCTTCCTTCCCCCGGGACACCAGGAGGGAGGAGGCAGGACTGGCCGGCTCCGCTCCGTGCGTCGGTCAAGCTGCGTCAAGGGCTGCAGCGGTAGCCGCGGGTGCGGTAAAAGCAGGAGGAGGAGGAGGAAGCGCCGGAGAAGGGAGGCAGAGCCTGGAGGAGGCTCTGGAGGAGTCGGGCCTTGGTGGCTGCCAGAGGAGAGCAGGTGGGGCCGCGCCAGGGAGAGAACAAGGCGGCAATCAGCCCCCAGGCTGGCGACTCGAGGCTTGCGGGTTGGAAGAAGCGCGCCGGGGGAACGCGGGGTTTCTCTGAAACGGGAGCAAACCCGGAAGATACTCCGCGGACCCTTCACCGGCGGACCCCTGGTTCCCGTTTCTGCGAAATCCAGAAAACCCGCCTTTCCCTGGCTTTTAGATCCTGGAAAGACTTTGGCTCCGATTTGGATTTTGCATTTCTTATTCCTGGGATTTCTGCTGCGCCGCCTATCCGTCCGCTCACTTTCCCATCCATCCTTAGAAATGGAGCGCGCTCCCTTTCCCCCCCGTCTAGACGGCAGGCGCTGTTAACCTCCGGACTTTCAACTCGGGTTTTGCGCGGAATTTACTTCAAATTGCGCGGGGATTGATGCATCTCCGCGGGTCCAGTTCGTGCAACACGCCCAGCAGGGTTTTTCCGAATTGCAGATGGTTTTGATCAATGCATTCCTTTTATTTGCAATTGCACCAATCCTCCAATTTTACACGGGGTTATAAGACTGTCGGTTCACTCTTTTCTCTCTTTTTAACTGGATTGCAGAGCGCTCCCGGTGCGCTAATCTGGGTTTCCCATATTTTTTGACTGCAGCAATCCGGATTAACGTAGTTAAACTGCGGAAGGTGTTTGCTGGTTTTCAGAGCGATGTTGCCAGGGTCTATTCAGATCTCTGGGGAGACTTTATCCAGTGCAGAAATTCGGGATATTTGTGAGAGCTTGCGGGAGAACTCCATCAAACTGCTTTCCCTCCGTGGTTGCCAACTATCAGACAGAGATTTCGGTCGCATCTGCAAGGGGGTGGCAGAGTCTCATTCCCTGGCTCAACTTAACCTTAACTTGGGGATTGTTTCCAATATCAATCGGGTCAAGCAATTGGCTGAAGCTCTGAAGACAAACCGCTCGGTCCAATCATTATTGTGAGTAGGCCCTCCATTAGTACCAACCGAGAATGTTGCCTCTTAACTCCGGTGGTGCAAATCCTGCAGGGCAAATGCTGTGCTGGTTTCTTAAAAAGTTGTGTTTCATTGACGTAAATGGAATTTATTTTTTCATTTTATTTATTTTGATTTGTCAATTGCTTACAAGATAATAGGTAGAAGTATATACATAATATGAATACATGAAATGGGTACATATAAGAAAAATAAAAGAAACAATAGGACAGGGACGGTAGGCACATTGGTGCGCTTATGCATGCCCCCTACAGACCTCTTAGGAAAGGGGTGAGGTCAATAGTAGACAGTCTAAGGTTAAAGTTTTTGGGGTTTGGGGAAGAAACCACAGAGTCAGGTAGAGTATTCCAGACATTGACCACTCTGTTGCTGAAGTCGTATTTCCGGCAATCAAGTTTGGTGTGGTTAACCTTGAGTTTGTATCTATTGTGTGCTCTTGTGTTGTTATGGTTGAAGCTGAAGTATTCATTGACAGGTAGGTCATTGCAATGTATGATTGTATACTCAGTATGTCTGAATGTACTCAGGCAGAAATGAGGGCTACTAGAATTCCTTAACGTAGTTCAGTTATCCTTTCAATATTGTTAAAATGGTTATAGCTCCAAAGAAACATATCTTCCTGTCCTTGGAGGCAGGATTTGAATGCATTGTAAAGAACCAGAGGTCATCCAGTCCGAAATATTGCTAATTACAGCAGTTGAATTCTGCAGGGTAATAGGTAGTCTTTAGTAAATGCCACAAATTAGAATGTTTGCTATTTGAGCTGGAGCTGATAAGTTAAAAACTAATACATTTTAGTAGGAATGCAATTTCCCTACCTTTGGTTAAGAAAGCATGAAAACATAGACCGATATTTTGCCATTTTGATGCATTATGTTGATGAAACAATTAAATGAACTTCCAAATCTTGTATTAATTTTCAAAAGTCAGTCCTCTTAAATTTATTATATTTTTTTAAAAAGCTGCTTCAGTCCCTATAATTGCAGGTTGTATGATTTTCATTTACCTGATCCAAATACAGTAGTACCTTGGTACTTGTCATTAATTGGTTCCGGAAGTTGCGATGAGTACCAAAAGCTATGAGTACCAAATATTTTTTTTTTCCAGAAGGAATAATGAAAATAAAATTAATGCATTCCCAAACCAAGGACAATGCACATTTTAAAGGTAATATATAAAAAGATAGGGTTGTATATCATTACTTTGCATGAGAAATAAACCTAAAAGCTAATAGATTAAATAAAATAAAAACTTTGGCAATAGCTTAGAGTCCTTATATACTGCTTTACAGTGCTTTACAACCCTATCTAAGCGGTTTTTACAGAGTCAGCGTATTGCCCCCAACAATCTGGATCCTCATTTTACTCACCTTGGAAGGATGGAAGGCTGAGTTAACCTTGAGCCTGGTGAGATTTGAACTGCCAAACTGCAGTCAGCCGGCAGTCAGTGGAAGTACTACTCTCTAACCACTGTGGCTCAATAGTACTTTACTTATACTGATGAGGAAAACAAATGCAAAAAATATACAAAATTACCACAGAAGCTAAGAAGAGTGCAAGGAGATGTGTAGAGGGCAAGAGCTACCACATGACTATTGGCTGGAAAGGGTAGTAAATCACAAGATAACCAACACCGACAAGGTCTAGCTTGAGTACCAAACAAAGGATAAGTACCAGGACAAAATGTTCTCAACAGAAAGCATGAAATAGCAAATTCGATGCTATTGGGTACCAAGGTACCACTGTAGTCAGAAAGCTTCAACCAGTAATGGGTATGGCTAATGCCAATTATGAATTTGAAGTTTTAAGAAGAGTACGTTATTTCTTAAAACTTACCCTATTGGTTCTCAAATAATGACAGTTTTCATATTTTTTAAATGTATTTTTATCAGGATAATAATACACAACCTTTTCTGATATTTATTGTCTTTAGAAAGGTGGGGAATGGCTGCCTCTGGTATAGAACAGTTGCCCTGAACTTGAATATTTGTTATAAAAAAACCCACAGCAGAATGTTTTATCATTTAATCAATGCTTCAAATTGTCTACCTGTTCTAATTAACAATTAAATTAAATTAACAAGTAACTTTCATGAATAAGAACCGACCTAAGGAAAGTCTCAGGGGTGTCCAGCCATGGCAGATTTGTGGACCTCAATGTCCAGAATTCCCCTGCCAGTGCTAGCTGGGGAATTCTGGGAATTGAAGTCCACAAGTATTAAAAGTTGCCAAGGTTGGACATCCCTGCTTTTCGAGATCACTTCCTACAAAAGAATGTAGGAAGACAGTTCAGACAAAAATATTATTAATGGGCTTTTAAACAATACATTTTATTGATCATTTTCTCTGCCTCTTTCAAAAGGCTCAGGTGTTCTTGTCCTCCGTTGTAACCTTCCTGTGTTTTTCTACCAGTGCCTGGTTTCGTTCTAATTTCTGGAAAACAAGTACATATGCAGCAAATATGCCAACTAGTGATTCTCAATGTCAGCCACTTTAAGATGTGTGGATGCTGGCTGAGAATTGTGGGAGTTGAAATTCACACATCTTAAAGTGGCTGACGTTGAGAAACACTGACTTGGGATTTATTTATCATTTGCAAGTCAAAGAAAAGAGGGTCTATAATTCCTTTTTCTTTATGCAGCCTTCATGGGAGTCCTCTGACAGATGCTGGTCTGGCCATTCTCAACCCAGCTTTATCCATCCATCCATCCCTCGTGGCCTTGGATTTGGGGGACTGCATGCTGGGGGATGAAGGTATCAACTTGATTTGTGGCCTTCTTCCTCCTGATGGGGCCAAGTCAGGTAAGGAAGAGAGGACAGGTCATCTTTTGCAGCTGTCTCTTTGGGGGGTGGGGTTTATTCCACCAAAGCAAAAGGGACTGTGGGAGTGACAAGAGTTCCTTATCCAAAAGAAATTATGGCTTTGGTTTCTTAGTGCCATGGGATCAAATGGAAATCCTCTGGTAGATGGCGAGGCTTTAAGGGAGTTAAGAATAAATGAGTGTCAAGCAAAATGTTTTTAAATGTTTAATAAAATTATATTTAAAAATGATTTTCAACTCTTCACGGGCAATATTAAGAACAGATGTGTACTTCTTTCATGTGAAACTAGAATGGGTTTTTGAATACACACACACACAAATATGTGAAGCATTCTTCTACAACACAAAAAAGGTTTTCTGTAAATATGATGCATTTGTTTTCAACAAAACAACTAAATATAGCAAAATTCAAACAAATCTGGAATTATTAGAAATAATACCAGAGAGTGCTTGACTGAGTAAAATGCCCCCCCTCCCCCATTCTTCACTAATTTCTAACCCAGATTCCAGTAGGAATTCAAGAGTGGAAATGCTGAATGTATATTCTGCTGAATATGGTTCTTTGGTCTAATACAAAAATAAATGAATAAATCTGTACTTATATACACATATAATCACACACACACACACACACACACACACAGACACACACATTGTAGGGGGTCTGCTCTGATTTAGGTCAATCATATTAGAATGATAACATCCAAGCATAAAGTTTTGGTCAGGGCATCCAAGATTTGATAATTGGGAATAATACCATCATTTGGAGTTTAGTAAAGTCTGTGGAGTTGTCTCAAAGAGAAATGGGCGGCAAACAAAGTCTAATCAATAATACCACAATGACTAAGTTCTGTTGGTTTTGTTTGTGTTGTTTTCTGTAAAAACTCAACTTAGCTAAGTCCAGGACCAAGTCATAAGACTGGATTTCTTTTATTTCCAAAACTCTTTTTAAAGGATTTAAAGCATTCCAGCTAGATTAGGAAACTCAAACCAACAGAGGAAAGATTAGTGTAATCTAAGCATTGTGTAAATAAATTTGTGCTCAAGCTTCATTTGTGACCAATCTAGACTGCTGATACAATAGTGTGCACAATACAAATGTAGCTGTTAAGAAGTTGGGTGGAACAGTTCTACCTGGCCAAAACATTATAGGGGCAAATCTGGGTACCTCTTAACAGCTGAGCAACCACTTTTGCAACATTTATAGGCGGTTAGTTCTATTTACCTAAGGAAGAAAAATTGTTTGGGGCATTTTCAAACAGTTTCTGCCTGATAAGAAACCACTGCTGTATAGAAAGCAACGTACCGAGATCTATAAAATCTGATTTGCTCTGCATACATATTTTCAATTTGCCTGCTGTCTGTTTTTGATTAGGGTTTTTTTTAAACAACCTGCCTCCCTTTTTTCCATTAGGAAAATTGATAATTAATAATTCCTCAGTACACAATAGATTGCAAGAGGTTATAAAGCTCTCTTACACTAGCTGATGTTAAAGAAAGTACCACTATATTATTATTCAAATATAAACAAATGGAAAAATGTATATTGTTTTTTCTTTTCTTTTCCAAGTTGGAATTAAATAGATAGAATAGAATTCTTTATTGGCCAAGTGTGATTGGACACACAAGGAATTTGTCTTGGTGCAAATGCTCTCAATGTACATAAAAGAAAAGATACATTCGTCAAGAATCATAAGGTACAACATTTAATGATAGTCATAGGGTACAATAAGCAATCAAATCATACTAGGAAACAGTCAATATAAATCATAAGGATACAAGCAACAAAGTTACAGAATTAGACTGTGACCATGATTATTACTTTTGACCTTCAGTTAAGGACAAAGTTTTTTTAATAGAAAACAATCATTTGAGGTTGCTGGTAGTAATTGTACTTCTTTAAGCATTCATCCTTAGGAATTCAATCAAGTGCTGATTTTAAATGGATAGAAGTTACATAAATGAACTTCCTAATGTTATGGTATATTTTAAAAATTAAGTAATAAGTAATGCAATCTTGTTTTTCTGATTATCTAAAACCATAATAATCTTCCCCGGAACATATAACTGTATATCTTTATTTGATTGAATATTGTAACATCTTGTCTAATTATATAGTCTCTTATAGTATAGTATGTTTGCCCACATTATCAGTTCAGCTGATCAGACATATGCATTCATATGTAGAAGTGTAAAATGCTAATCAGCTGTGGAAATGTATACCTAAGTCAAAGGGTAATGAATATATACAACATTTTAAGCACATATTCACAATATAGCTTAATAAACAATCTTCTGTTTTGAAAGTATATTTTTGTTTATAGCATCCTGGGCTTGTAGACGAGACATATAAACTGCCATGCAGGTCAACCTGTTATATTTATCTTTTTAAATTCATAACCTCAGTTCTCAACTTACGACCACAATTGAGCACAAAGTTTCCGCTGCTAAAAAGGCAGTTGCTGAGTAAGTTTTGCAATAGCTGTTAAGTGAATCATAGTTTTTCAGCAAAGTTGACTTTCCCCATTGTCCTTGCTCGGCGGAAACCGGCTGGGAAGGTTACAAAAAGGTATGACCCATGACATACCCGGGTCAGTGCAGTTTATTTATTTATTTATTTGATTTGTCAATTGTTTACAAGACAATAAGTACAAGTGTATACATAGTTGTGAATACATGAAATGGGTACATATAAGAAAAATAAAAGAATAAGAGAAACAATAGGACAGGGACGGTAGGCACGTTGGTGCGCTTATGCACGCCCCCTACAGACCTCTTAGGAAAGGGGTGAGGTCAATAGTAGACAGTCTAAGGTTAAAGTTTTTGGGGTTTGGGGAAGAGACTACAGAGTCGGGTAGAGTATTCCAGACATTGACCACTCTATTGCTGAAGTCGTATTTCCTGCAATCAAGTTTGGTGCGGTTTACTTTGAGTTTGTATCT